ACAACGCACTCGCATTCCAATTGTTCCCAAAACCTGAAGATCATCCATCAAAGGCTTTAAAAAGCTATGAATGTCTTTGGGCTTGTATGGTCCAGGGATAATGGCGACTTGGAGCATATTCTTCAGTTTGTATCTATATAGTATCTGGTTTATATCAGTGCCAAATCAAACCTTTATACGTTGCTAGAATACCTTTTGGATTGAGGAAGCGTGAAGACTACAAGGTGGACAATCGTCATTGATATTGTATTATTACGGCCTCGACGGAATGGCACGAAACCGTCCACAAACAAGCCAAGCGTAATGTCATACTCTCCATCGAAGAAATGGCGGCAGATTTCGAAGGCACGCCCATCAACAATATCAGTCGTGACGCCTTCTTCTCCTACACTCTTGTTGCCAAATCTTAAAGTATCGCGACTCATAGCGGTGGCAAACAAACTTGCAAAAAGGTGTGAGATAGGGATATATCTCATGACCTGTGCAGGCTTCCCGTTTTCCAAATAACGAGGCTTCTCGCACTTTGGGCACTTGTCTTGACTGCCAGTGATAAGAACACATCCGTCCGCGCACATATCCAGATTCCTCGGCTTGATAGGGCAAATATATCCAGCCCTTTTGCTGGCCAAGTATGGGCTACACAAGTCTTCAAAGCTGCGATTTTCCACTACGAAAAATGTTTAACATGTATATACATTGATCACTACTCATTTACTTACTGAAGCTGTCGATAGAGTGCTTCGCAAAGCGAATGCAAAAGCTAATCAGATTGTCATGACAATCCCTCAGAAGATTGTAGTTAAGAACAATCGCCAATAGTTCGAGATCCCATCTGTTATCTTCGGCTTGCTGCTCGATATTTGAAACATCGATTTCTTCAATATCCCCTTCATTAATGCGAGTTGGCGCGTCCTCAAGTGGAAGCATAGCTTCGACGTCGCTACCTTCGTCGTTATTTTCGCCACAGCTTTCGTTGTCACTGGTCTCGTGGTCTACGCTGTCACTTTCGCGATCAGCCGCAATGATCTCAGGAGGGACCTCGAGATTAGCGTTTCCCATCAAGGTACCAGGATCGGCATTCGTTAGGTCGGGTGCTAACACCAACGCAGTAACTGGTGGAGGCGAACTGCTGCTGCTACGGCACTGTTCCCGCTTGTGTTCTTTGACGTGGTTTTTGTACTTTATTGCAGACCTAAAGGTCTCATCGCAGTTATTGCAACAATATATGGGCATGGTGGATGGTGGACGATGAGTATGAAATGATAGGTAAGTCTTAATTGAACGATATGTTATAGCCACTTGGTTAATTAAGGTGACAAATACTTTTAAATTACTGCAATTTTTTTTTTCTTTCTTCTCTTCTTCCCAAAAACTTTTTTTTAAAAAAATGAACACTAACCAAACACCTTCCAACGCTAACCTTAATTTCCTCCAAGTCTTCACTCGTATGGAGCATCGTCGTATCAATGTAGAGACGAATCAAGCAATCATTCTGGAGAAGCTCGACCAACTGCTAACGGCGCAATCCCTAGTCGAGGTGCCAGTTGTCGATGAAGCAGAACTTGCTGAGACATACCAAGGGGAAGATATTGAAGAAAGCTAACAAGGATGATGTCGAGCGCCTTCTCCTTCAAGGCTACCACCAGTTTGAAGGTGGTGCTTTGATCAAAGCCTAGACAGACATCAAGCACATCCAGGAGCGTGTTGTGGTTGTTCTGGAGAAGAGATTGCGGGATCGTGCTGACAACAGCGCGACCTGCTACTTTGCTAAGCTGCAAAGCAAGGATAGCAACTGGGCTATCAGCCTTTTCACGAACCTGGCAAAGAAGCAGGGAATTGATTTTGCTGTCTGCCAGGACCAGTGGGCAGCTCGCCACATCGTCCAAGAATGCTGGAATAACTACGGCAGATCCAGCAAGTTGAGGTATGATAACTACTACACTAGAGCAACCACAATTGTATATATATTAACTCTCAGGTAGACAACAAGAACCGGCTTCTGCTTCTCTTCCTGCTTCTCTTCCTGCTGCTTCCTATCTCTTCTGCTTCTCTTCCTGTTTCCGCTTCTGCTCTTCCTGTCTCTTCTGTCTCTCTTCCTGCTTCTCCTCCTGTCTCTTCTGCTCTTCCTGTCTCTTCTGCCTCTCTTCCTGTTTCCGCTTCTGCTCTTCCTGTCTCTTCTGCTTCTCTTCCTGCTTCTCTTCCTGTCTCCACTTCTGCTTTTCTTCCTGCCCCTGCCCCTACTCCTTCCTCCACGCAGTCTACCAAACGACGTCGTACTACAAAGCGGCTCGGAGCTGCTCCCCCCCACAAAAATAAACATAATTAAAAGGTAAGTTAAAGTATCAGAAAGTTGATTATTGTATAAACACACACACACATACACGTATATATATAGCGAGAGTGTATGTGATATATATAGAGAGAGAAAGGGGTGGTTTTCATCTATATACGCTCGTCGACCAGTATTCCATCAACAAATAAACCTTAGCTAGTATCATGTAATTGAATAAAGCTATTTTTTAAAATCTATATAATGAATATTCCACAAAAATGTTTTGTGAACGTGTGACCGCTTTGGTATTCCACAAAATGTTTTGTGATTTTCTTGTGAACGTGTGACCGCTACTTTAAATTCACAAGAATCCACAAGAATTCTTGTTACTTTACTTAGTGTTTACAAGAATTTAAAATTCACAAGAATTTTCCTACAGTGCAGGGCTTCCTGTTTAGAAACAGTGACTACACAAAACGTTACAAAACACGAGACCTATAACAGAAAAAAGCTGCTTTTACCTTTGTATTGATATGCAATTGTATCACTTGCCGAAGATGAAGCATTGATACTTTCTTTAGTAACAACAGTCGATGATGTAGTGCATGGGGTAGAAGATGAGGAGTCGCCAATTTGGTCACCTGAATACATTTATGTCAGCCACAGGTCTATTAATGAGACTACAAACACACTTACTATCGTCTGCATATGTAATGTACACAAAGGGATTCATCTCTTGTACCCTCGTTGACACCAGGCACAGAAACAGTAGATTGGCGCCCATAACATGTACAGGCACCATATCCAACTCTTGTATTCTGGCAACTGCTTGAAGCCATTGTTCTTTGGTTTGTTGTAATCCAAGGGCTAAGCATGCTGCCTGGGACAAACTTAAGTCTGTGCATCCAAACATTGACGGAACAAGCTTAAAGAAGTAAAAGATGCTGTAGCTTAAAGAAGAAAGAAAAAGATGCCCCTGCATCCCCTGCATCCCCTTATTTGAGGAACCCGAAAAGGGGTGCACCCATCTGGGGGCAGTTTCATTATTCATCAAGAAAAATTACATCAGAGAAGTTTTCAATCACTGAGTAAAATTTTTTCAAGTTCCCACAGCGACGCGTCACAACTGTACCTTTGTTGTTTTGTCAATTGCTCACCTACAACAATGGCCTCTGCATCTGATAGCCTTGGATACCTTGTCTGTGTCTTTCCCACCTACCCGACCGAAGTAGTTACAGAGACTTTTGACAACCAGCAACAACTTGACGAGTGGGTTAAAGAAAACCCCAAGCAGCATGCCAACTTCATCACCAACAACAAGTACATCTCCGTACCCAAGGCTTCAGATGCACGCCGAAATAATGCCGGCCGTCCTCAGACAGTTGAACGTAGTATCACTTTTTTTTGTGATCACTCAAGAGAAACATCGGCTCTAGCTATCCCTGCTCTGCCTATAGACTCAACTGAACCTGCTCCCTTAAAAAAACGTCGACTTGCAAAACCATCTATTAAAGTAAATTGTCGTGCTCGATACCGTATTCAATACTTATTCTCAGGCAAAATCAAACTTGTATATCACTGGCAACATCAACACCATGACCCTACCGAGATAACCAATGCTACTCGCTCACAACTCCCTGCTGAAACACGTAAATGGATCGAAGAACTTGTCAATAACAAGTTGGAGTGGGATCAAATTCAGGAACATCTGCGTTTGACTGATAAAGAACTTCAATATGTAAGTATCATCTATACATGTAAAGCAAAACTATGATGATAACTTGTAGAGATGCTAACCTGTGGTATCAGCTCGAGGAAGGCGAAGGACCGTTCCCGGAAGCCTTACGTGTGAAGCAGCAGCATGTCATGAATATCATTGCCAACCAACAGTCAAGATTAGCAAGAAAAGATTTATCATATACAAATTACTACAAAAAAGCGAGGAATGGCAGTGGCATACAAAGAAGAAGCAGCCTTTCAAGATATCAAATACGGCTCATTGAACTTCCAACGCTAGCATATTATCCCGGCCCTAACTTGCCATACGATCTCTATTGTGACGCTTCGGATGTCGCTATTGGAAGTGTTTTGTCAAAACTCAAGACCAGTTGCCTATATGCTAGCAAAACGTTGGCACTAGCCAAGAAGAATATAGTGTGACTGGACGTGAGGCGATGTGCGTAATTCAATCTTTATGGTACTTTCATTGTTATACGCATGGTGCCCAACCTACAGTCCACACAGATCATACAGCAATGAATGCTATCTTATCGTCTCAAGCTCCAAAAGAGCGAATGTACGATGGATTATGGCGACAAAGCATTACAACTATACTTGCACTGCACGAAAAAGTGAATATCACCATGTTTGAATAACATAATCGTATAGGAAGTCCAGAGAACGACGCCTTATTTGGTCTACAATTTTTTTTTGGAATATAATTTTACTTCGCTATTGTTGCGAACGGGAGGGTGAAAAAACAACTTGTTTTTGCAGGACATTAAAACATACTCTTATTTGTATTTATTATAAAATTTGCACTTATCGCTAATTATTGATTTCAACCTTATCTGCAGGGTCTGTACGTTGTGTTGTATGTAAAAGCAACTTCGAGGGGTGAGGGGTAGGCTTGGTAAGGAAGTGTCGAATGTAAAAGCAAATTCGAGGGGTGAGGGGTAGGCTTGGTAAGGGAGCTCTTTTTTTTCTTCTTCTTTACTCTCTTTTCTCTTTATTTTTGTACAAGTTGAGGAATTGCCGAACGTTTGACACAGTCAGTGCGACAGTCGAAACGGTTGATTATCTCTTCCTTCGTCAGCAGGTCATGTCGCAAAAATACGTCGGAAGTCAATCCGCGGTCCACCACAATCTCTTCAATTTGTGTAAATTTCCTATTTTTCAGTATCATATTAGTTGATTTTATCCACGGATAGCCTCATAATATGTCTACTCTACCTGACGAATGCACGAATGTCATTTGGCTCTGTGCTTAACCCGGCAAAATCTATGACTGCCAAACAGATGGGCTTGAACTTTGTTTTCAGCAATTGCATTAAAGCTGAAAAAAGAAAGAATGAGTATCTGTGCATTGAATAGAAAAGTCATTCACATAACTTGTCATATCCCCATTGCAGTTCTTAACCAAAGCCAGGTGATTTTTTTGGTTTCCGGTGCTGTCACAAGATTCCATATTTTCATCTGCGTTGCAATAGGGCGACACAAAAACTTTGGTGCACAGGCTTCTTGTGCGCAAACGATGAACCATGTTGCTTAGAAGGTTGCATCGAGTGCTAAGACGTTCTTTTCCTCCTTTTGATTTTCGGGCATAGCTGATTGTTGACATCGGATAGTGACGGCAGTGTCGCTCGTATTTTGCAAGGTCCTCAATAACGTTGACATCTAAGTACTTGTCTAACAAGACCCACAGCTAGTATTAAACTTCTTTTTACAATCTTTCTATTTAATTTTAAGCCCTTTAATCTAGCATACTCTAAATCACATTCCTCTATTTTCTTAATTTCTTCATTAATAGGATTTAACATTAAACTATAAAGATCATTAGGATCATCTTTCATATCAGATTCAACTAAATTAACTTTACTAGCTAGATCAAAATCAGAAATCATTGCAGCTAAATGTTGTACACCATTACATGTTACATCTAAATAAATTGGTAATCTAGAAATAAAGTTTAATAGATCCTTATTATAACCTTGTAACTCAAAACAAAAAGCTAAAAATAACATAGGTTCATCAGCTTTTCTCGATAATCCTGAATTTAAATCTAAGATTTCTGAAAAATGTTGATCAACCCATTCTAATCTTTTGGTAATAGATAATTTATTTAATCTAAAAGCATTTGCTCCATAAACCTTTAATGAATTTAATCCATTTTCAGATAATACATCACCTTTTTTGAATAACTTTAATGATCTTGCTAATTCACCACCTTAGAGATTTAATTCACCCCCTTGGCAATAAACTCTTCCTCTCTAGTCTAAAAAGAAAGTAAAATAAAATTGTTCAACATCTCTATAAAGCTTAGCAATAGTTAAAATTAAATTATTATATAAGAATTTACTTTTATGAGATGTAATTTCAAATTCTTTTTCTTTATTATTCTTTTTAATAATCTCACTCATTTCATCTGTCTCCTTATGTAATGTTCTCATAACTAAATCATTATTAAGTAGCAGATTCATTAGAAAATCTAATACTTTAAGATTAATATTGAAACCAATAGATGACATATAATTAACCATTTTAATTGTTATTTTATTTATAAATTTAATATTTGATTCAGTAAATCTTCTACTTCTAATTAAAGGATTAAGATTCTTAATATTATTAGTAATATATTTACTATATGTCTTAAATTCTTTGTTATCATTTAATTCCCAATAAATAGGTGGATATACTATAGGTAATTCATGACCATCAATCATACCTAAATATTTAATATAGTTTTTCAATTAGTAACTAGGAATAATTTCTGTATGAGTTTTTTTACTTTAAACATCATTCATTCTAAGATATTAAAAAGATCACTTTTCATATCCAAATAACTAATAACAGTACCACCAATATTAATAAAATTCTCTTCATTCATTATAAAATTCTTCAAATATAAATTAAAAGTTACAATATCCTTAGATTTATCATCAACTTCTTTAATATATTTTTGATATAAACATTCTTTATATAAAGTGTTTCCTAATCTATGAAATAAGGTAGCAACTGATTGTTCTTTATTATCTTCATATTTCATAATAAAGGGGATTAACAAACTTAAAATCAAGAACAGCATCAAGGATTTATCTATTTCTTTAAACATAAAAAGATATTTTTTGTTTCTAATAAATTTTTCATTTTCAAAATACATTTTTAAGTCATCTTCTAACAACTTATAGTTATTTAAAAATATTCTAAACCTAGGATTTGTATTTAAGAAATCCTTAGACTTACTCATTTTTTCTAGTTTTTTCAACCATAAAGAATGTAATTTTTCTTCTAAATTTAATTGTTTTTCTTTAAGAGATAAAGTATCGTTTGATTAAATTTCTTTAATAGTAATATAACCACTAGATTTTCATTTGTAAGAGAAAAGTCTTTTAAATCATTAAAAGTTGAATTTAAAATATTATTTTCTAAAGGGTTTTTATTTATATATACCACTGAAGGTAATAAAGCTAAAAGTAAATTAACTGGAGTATTAATCCAGATATTACTAGTAATTAAACCATCAGGTGTTTTAATCCTGATATAACTTGAAATAAGCTCTGTAAAAGAGTTTAAATCGCAGGTATTCGAAGGGAAGATAGGGCAATCGCTAAAAATATAGAATAAGTTTGTAAACATCATATTTTTAAAGTAAGTAATTAGATAGCATCTAATTTTTAGTAATGATTTATTTAGTTTCAAGATTAATTATCTCTACTTACAGTACCGCCACAAGGTACCGGGGGAGAGTTTTATAAAATAATAATAATAAATATTGATATCATGGGAGATTATTTATTATTTTTATAAAATAATAATAACAATCTTTTATATGAATCATCAACCCAGAATGACTCGTTTAAATAATAGCAAATAACTAAAATTCCAATATGACATAATAACATAATTATTAATAATACAAAATTATTCCAATCTCTTAATGAAATAATAAGGCAAACTAATTTATATAATAAAGGTCTATTCTTAATAAATTCTCGTTCTTCAATTTTAATTAGGCTACTTAACATACCTATAATTAAAAAGAAACAACTAAGAATTCCAATAAATGTAAATAGACAAACACATAAAGTTAAAATAGGAGTAGGATTTCCATCACTACCTCTAAAATATTCATTTAATAAATTAAATACATCTTGTGGATTTTCAATAAATTTTGAAATTAATTCTACAAAATTATTACTATTTTCATTTAGAGAATTAATTTTGAAGTTTCCATCTGGTGGAGGACTACCAGATCTTTTAATAGAGTGATAATACATTCTTTCACACATTTCTCTCATTTTTTTCTTTCTTCATAGTTATGATTCATCATTTCACCTAATCCATAAGTAGCAAAACCACTAATAGTACCAACAATACCTAAAAACAATCCATTTCTAGGATTTGTTTTTGCAATTTTAACTGCAGCAGTTATTGTTGTTCCAGAAATAATTCCCGCAGCAACTCCAGGAGAAGTAATTAGTTTATTATTATTAGAATTACTATTTGATGGATGATTTTTTGACGCTGCACCTCTATCTCCAAAATTAACATTAAAAGTATTTTTTAATGAAGGATTTATATTAGATGAATTAGGGGCAGAACTTATATAAACTAATAAACCTAGTAATAATAGACCTAAAGAGCCTGTAAAAATGTTAGAGAGATTATCATTAAAAAAGTGAATAAATCCTATAAAATAAAGATGAATAGAATCAACTAGAATATTAGGAATTAAAAATACAGATGCAAATCTAAAATGATTTTTATCTGTAGAATAGTAATACTTATGTTTAATAAACTTAATAATAGATAGAATATTATTCTGTAATAAAGAATAATAAGTTTGTAATAATCTATTACATCTATAAATAAGTATTTTAAACTAATAACTAGAAATAACCCAAACTAAGTTTCAAGTTAATCGTAGGATACGAAGGGGGAATAGGGCGATTACTAAAATTTTAGAAGACATTTTTCTAAACATTTTTTCAATAAATTAATAAAATTAGATAGCATCAATTAAATAATATTATAATAAAATTAGATAGCATCAATTAAATAATATTATTTTTTTAAAAAATAAAGACATTTAGTTTCTCATTAAATAATGATACTTATAGAATCCACCTCGAAAAGGTATGTCTGAATAAGATCCTATCTAGAAGGAAAGAAGTATGTTTGTTTTCTTTCCTTCTAAAGGAGGATATGTAAATAACTGTTTCGTTTTAAACCCATTACCCCCCAGCGACCTTCCACTTTTTTGCCATCTAACTTTCTTGATGTACGTTCACCCCATACGTTACAGCTGTTGACCCAACCCTCAATTTGCTTCGTCGAGTTTGTGGCTGGTCCAAAGCGTTTTTCTAAGATAGATTTTTGCTGAGCTGACACTAAGAAGATGTGCTCGAATAGGGTATCGTTCGACAGTTGGTTTAGCAGCATGACTTGCTTCAAGTATTCCAGCACTGTAGGAAAATTCTTATGGTTCTTGTGAAGTTCTTGTGAATTTGGACCCCTGCTGGCCTCATTCTTGTGGTTCTTGTGGATTTCTTATGGATTTCTTGTAAATTTGTGACGCTGCTCTAGGTTGCCAAATTTTTTTGTGGTTTTTGTAGATTCTTGTGGATTTCTTGTGAATTTGGACCCCGCCGGCCTCATTCTTGTAGATTCTTGTAGATTTCTTGTAAATTTGTGACATCTGTCACTGCCTGCTCTGGGTCGCCAATTTTCTTTGGTGGTTCTTGTGGATTCTTGTGGATTCTTGTGATGTTTTTGTGATTATACAGTACTATCGTGATGTGAGCTTAAGTTAAATAACCAGTAGTTGTGTTGAAATGCTCTGGGTACATTTATTATTCATTTGACTGCTGCTATGTTCTCTTTGCACAAAACTACTGAGGAAACGAACAGCCGATCTTGCGTTTGCCGTGAACAAGTTTTGGACGTGAATAGGATTTTGCGTCAACATTACAACAGGGAGCGCTTATTGTATGTGCAAAGAAGAACGTTATCATAGTCCCTTATTTATTTAACTTTCACGATCCAAATAGAATAAAAGCTTTGCTCGAAGCAACGCGTGGTGTTCCATGCCAAAACTTGGCAGAACACTGCAATGACGTTTTGGACGCTATAAACAAAGAATATAAGAGAGGTGATTATGATTCTGATTTGGATCTTTCGCATTTTATATGCGACCAAAGGTAAGTAAATAGCGATCTCACACTGTCATTCGTTGTCACTGTAGTAAATAAGTTTTGTAACTGTATACATAGAGAACCGCCATCAAATACCTGCAGCAATGGATCTGGCTCCACTCAAGTATACTCACCCTCCTTCCTATATTTGTATGGTGCAAACTCTCCTGTCGACGATTCCTCAGCGCCAGAAACAATACCTTCGACTGGTACTAACGATTTCGAAAAACATAGCATCTCTGCTGAGGAAACAATACGAAAACTCCAGACCACAGATGAACTGTTCGACGAGCTAGGTCTTTGATAATGAAAATTTTAAACTATATAAGAGGCACGAGTCAGATAATAC